ATATATATATATATATATATATATATATATATATATATATATATATATATATATATATATATATTTGCAACTTAGGAAGCGAAGTTAATGTATGGAATGTTGTTTTCCATAAAATCATTTGTAAGTAAAATCTCACCGTTGGATCCTAAAGAAGGATTTTTGTATTACAAGACAAGTAAATATACACTTCATTACTTTGAAACACCATCAGGACTTAAGTTTGTCTTAAATACTGATAATGCCAGTCAGAATGCCAGAGAATTGTTACAGCAATTATACAGAGAAGTAAGATTTTATGCCTACTTTTCTGTATTAGAATTACGAATATGTACAAATTTTCATAATTATATATTTTTTATCTTAGGTGTATCTGGAATATGTAGTAAAGAATCCACTCTGCCAATTAAATGGACCTATACAAAGTGAATTGTTCAAAATAAAAGTGGATGAACTATTTAAAAAATCACCTTTGTTTCTAAGTCGATCGTTATAGGTTATAAAAAAAAATATAAGATATTTTTATATATAAAAATGTATAGACTCCCTGATATTTAATTAAATAATACTAAATATTATTTAAGTATATGTTACCATTTATAGTTTTTTTATTATTATAGAACAGTGATGCAAAAAATGAAAATTATGAAACTTTGTTATTAAGTTTTGGTTTTAATATTTTTTAATTGCAATTTTTAAAGTTAAATGTTTTCACATCTTTAGTCTGTTGTAGCCGTTTATTTCGCTTTTTATATACATTTGTTACATTGGTATGTAAAATGATAATAGTGCATTATTTAAACAATATTTCTGTGCTGTACAATACTTTTAATGATAGGCTAGTACAGGCAAAGTAAAACATGTATCCTTACATATTACTTGTAAATGCCAGCATTCTAATCACATTTTAAGTAATAATTCTAAATAATATTTTCATTTCCTGTTGATATGATAGAGTGATCATAATAAAGTAGTGTGATCGGCATTTGGAAAGTTATGTATATTTTTCTCACAATGCATTTCTTAAGCAATATTGTTAAAGTATTGTTACTCTTACTATAATTGTATAATTTAATAAATTTTATTACATATGCTTGAACCTCAAGATGACAAAATGCTGTTATTAAAATATATAATAGAAGAAAAGATATTTATTTAAAAAATAAGATTATATATGTGTGGTTTACGTTAATATATTTGTAAGGATATATTACAATTGCAAATTATATTATACATTCTATATAATTCTTTCATATTAAATTATAATGCTCGCACAAAAATTAAATATAAAATTCTTATAAGGACCTACTAAAATTTTGAACTAGAAATCAAAATTTACCACATGATTGATTTTTTATCAATTCGAGCAATGTACCTTAGTAAACGCTTTTTTACAATATAATATAAATTTTGTAATCATTTCATCATTTAATATAATGATACTTAGAAAAACAAGAATTATTTACTCTTAACACAAGATTACTTAATCTTTTGAACCTAACGATACGAACATAATATGCTGAGAGTGCATTTACTTTAGTACTTTTTTATATGCTAAATTTATCAATAATTGCAAATATATTTTTGGTGTAAATTTTGCTTAAATACAACAACTAGTATGGTATGCATATAAAGAGAGGAGGCGGCAGTTTGTCATAGTTCAAAATTCGGTTTTTCTTGGGTCCACGTATCCAAAACAATTTTTTCTCTTTATAAACTATCGATTAACATATTCTTATACAAATAAAATTGAAAATCAAATTACCTGAACACTTAAAATATCTAATAGTTTTTTACAGAACCTATGCGCATGTATTTCTGTGTTTGACTTAGCATTCAATTAATTTGACTTTAGACTTTAACATAGAGTTATAAGATAAAATTACTATTCATTAATTATAAATGACTATTTCAAAGAATATAAATTGTTTCTTTTAAATCATTTATAACTGATATTTATAACCAATATGCATATAAACTGACAAATGCAAAAATAATATACAAAATATATAAATCCATTATTATGTACTTTGCTTATTAAATAAATAAAATAATTCATGTGTGCGCCATGTAAATTGAAAAAAAAAATTATATATAAAAGAGACATCAAAATATTATATATCATAAAAGTTATAATCTGTTTCATCTGCACCACTCCCATATATAATATAACGCGAAAAAAAATACTTATTATTTCAAGAAAAGTAAAGCTGCTTGTCGCATATTATATATATTTTTACACAGCAAAGGCAGACATTGTTTGGGAGATGCCCATACGCACATATTTTTATATATATATATATATTGGCCGATAGATTAAACACACGATTAGAACGCGTAATACTTAAAGATGTAATGAGCAGTACTCGACTTATGAAATGCAGCAACAACCCATGAGATTAACTTTCACTTTAATGATCTTTTTTCTTAACTTGTATTGTCCACCTATTCGTTACAAACTAAACGTCGACAATTGAGGAATAATTTCGATACAAATAATAGAGTTGTTCCGTCTACTATAATAACCATTGCAATTTATTAAATATTAATGCAGGAAGAAATATTGTCTTTAACTTTCTTTTCCATTGTTTATAATGAATTGGGAGTGTCATATATGATTTGTATATGTTATGTATGTGAATGCATACATATATATACGAACGTATATACATATATGCATACAAACGTACATACATATACGTACATATACTTATATATAACATATGTATATATGTATCCATACAGTATGCTCACATATGCATGATCACAGCGCAAATGCACACAATCACTAGAATTACTCTTTGCGATAGTTTTATCTCTTTGTTTCTTGTGTAACATTCGAACTATGCGTATGCGTATTGCCCGGTATATATGGGTATGTACAATCGTCGTGCTTACATATTAACGCATCGTGTTTTTGCATTTATGCGATTTAGTACATATATACACACTGAACATATGTATATACGCATCTATACATACATTGTGACATCCATGCTCAGTCTTAACCTTCCTAGCAATGCAAACTTTCGTCTGTAGTAGTGGAACTCCGACTCTCATCGCAAGGCATGCTGATCCGATTGCCGGAGGCTTGCGATGCGGTCGACGTCGGCTCCTCTATGACCGACAGTCGTTTCTCACGATCCGTGGATATTGCTGAAGCGTGAAAAAAAACGTTTCTTAAAGTGGCGACGTTGATGCGTTCCCGCGAAGTATCGTCTACGGGACTTTCGGCATTCGATCCACCATTTGGGCTCCTGTATAATTATACAATTGCAGTAATGGCACAATCGCAGAGTAACTTATTGTAATGTAATTTAACAGTAATTTTGCGATTCGTACTTGGATGTTTTCTGAGCATCAGTCTCTTGCTCGGAATCTTTATTTCGCTTACGACCCGTTGAACGATTGTTCATCGCACAGCCCTCCAATTTGCCACCTACCACCCTCTCTTGGTCCGCTTCGATTACGCTGACATGATCATCGAATCGTACTCGTTCCGAAACACCGTCCTCTCCGCTCATGACCCAGCTACTCGCATCGCTACACTGAGGATCAAATGTCAGTTTACGTCGGGTGCGTTTTGCTAAACCAGGCGCCATTTCTTCCAACGAGCTCAACGATGTGGCTTGACCAGCAGAGTCCATGTGACCACCATTGGTGGAGTTGGCTGGTTGCTCTCCTTCCGTACTTCTGCCACCGCTGATTGAACTGCTATCCATCTATACAAGAAGAAATAAACAGAATTAAATTTATTTTTTATGCTTTTAGTCGAATTTAATATTTACTTGGCAACAGAGCCCACTTATTAATATTTATGCGAGGACAAAAGAATCATCACCTTAAAGTTAAGAACTGAACCGGCCAAGGCCCTCGTAGAAGCCGCGCCATCGTCTAAAGCAATAGAAGCGTTTACCGATTTTTCCGACAGACTAGTAGCCGCGGACGCGGTTTCGCTACACAAACTGAAGCGTTGCGTAGACGTAACATCAGCTTGGACCTCCAACCTGTGTATGTACATAAGCAGGTAGACCGTGTAACAGCTATCAAAGAGAGGAAAAAGTCGTACACCATCAGTGCGAGAAACGAAAAATACCTTTGACCTCCGGGAAGCACGCTAGAGGCTATACTGCCCGCGAGACTAGTGCCAGCTAGAGCCACATTACTAGCGCTTTCGCGATCATTTTCCCGGCCCAATTTCTCCAGCTGACTACCGCTACCCAACGATAGCGAGGCCTCCCCTATTGAAGGATTGCCGCCGCGGTGACTCGCGACGTCTATTGATGCCGCATCTGTAACATGCCACGGACTTACAATAGGCTCCAGATCGCGATGAGTGGCAGTGGATCTGGCAGTTCCGAAGCGACAGGATGAATAGAATGAATAGGACAGCGCGAGCACACGCACGAATAGAACTATCTGATCAGGCAGGATATGTGTGGTGGCGGGATATGATGAGACAATGTGGTACAGTAGATTGCAAAACAGTTTTGAACACAATCACGTTGAGAGTCCACCAAACTATTGAAATTGGAAGTTATAATAATATAATTAAAAATACTAAATAATAAATAATAATGAATGATATAATTACTAGTCGGCTATATAAGCTCGTCAGTAATAATTCTCAGTTTCGATAGTTTGGTGAGCTTCCAACTTCATTATGTCTAAATCGTTTTGCAAGCCACTGTACATGCGCGTGTACGCGTGTTTACCTCCGCCGTTGCGCGCGCCCAAGGCGCCCATCAGCTCATTCTCATCGTCAAACTCGAATCGCACTCCGGTGCCGTTCCTAGTAACACCGCAGCCGCCGTTTCGGCAAAGTGATACCGGAACCACGCCGTAAACGTAGAACAGCAGTATGGGAACACCGATACCCACAGCCAATCCCGCCAGTACCGGTGACACTAGAACCTGCAGAAATTTACAACGGTCAATTATAAGCATCCAATCCACACACACACTTTGTTGGAGACTTTCATAACGCGTCGTTGGCCACGGCAGCAAAAAATTATGATCAAAGTATAGCGCCCACGGAGGAACAAAGTTATTAACGTCTTTAAGGCTTCCCTCGTGCTCGCAAAATGTAGCTAACACCTGTTAGCGACACACAAGAATATAAATAGAGACAGTTAGGTAGATCGAAGGCCACGTAGCTTCGAGATGTAAGGAACTTCGATTGCACGCCGATAAAAAAGCTCCGAGCTACTCCTATTGTTAGCGATAACGGAAAATAAAATCAATCTAAAGTTGACCTCGTTCCTTGCGTGATATTCATATCAACATTGTAGATCAATAATTTTATCTGCAAAGTGACTGAAAATTAATTGTATTGTTTCGATAAGGCTTTCAGCGGTCCTCTTTGCCTCGTGATGAAATCTAAAACGACTTCACTTTTAACATAACATTCTTATCAATGTCTAATGATTAACAGTACTGTTTCATGGTAATAATCTTATCTATGAGTAAGAATATTCCAAAATAAACTCCGTTATTTCGATAAGATGTTTCTAGTTCGTTCGCAACAATGTTACGATTTCTACCGAATGAAATGTTTTCTCTCGTGTTATACATGGGAAGGAAATATTATTTGTCTGAAATTTAGAATTAAAAAAACATGCAGCATCCATGTTCGCGCGCAGCTATACACTTTACTGACACCCCTGGTGCGCATACGCGGGAAAACCCGGCCAAGATCGAACACCGGCGCAGATAGAGAATGCATATCGTAGGTGGAGAAGAGAAATCCGGGAGGCGCGGAAGGAAGGATATTGATCGGCAATGGGTACGCGCGCACGCTGATATCTCTGTGTTCCACCCTGCAGCAATGTGGAAAGATCAAATCCCTTGCAAGCGTGCGCAGACCTCAGTAATGTACGTAGCGTTCACTGTGACGAAGGTATCGAAATGATCTTTGCAGGAAAAGAACGACGAACTTTGAGAGGAACGATATAAAACAGCAATCTCTACGAATCCCTTTGCTGCATATATAAAATCAAAATACATTTTACTTAGCATTAGCGCACAAAACTGACGAAAATGGATCCGGAGAAGCGCTCTACGTTGCATGTGAGCGCAAGTCTGCCGGGTTATGTGATCTCGCATGCGCGCCAAAGTCCTGATCTTTCCAAACCACCCGAGCACCGAGCCAAGTCGAACAACAACAGTCGGTCAGTGTCGCTCGCGTGATTTCCACGCCGAGCGATTGAGGATGCACGTGGATGCACCTAGGTCGAGGAGGAAGTGAGAAAATCGCTGATGCGCGGCCGTAGGGCGTGTTCTCTCATACCAGGATTGCAGTATATACAGCAGTGCAACCCCTTGCTTTTTTGTCGGTCAAAACAGAGCGCGCATGTGCGAAGTAGAGGAGTCGAAAAGGGAGTAGAGCAAGGTGATCTGTTTTCTTACTATTGTCAAAAAGGTACATTACACTTGATTAGGTTTTCTGGCTATACTAAATACATACACTGATGAGTCAGAAAAAAAGAGACGAAAAAAATATTCAGGGAAAACCATATCGTAAAAGCTCCTTTATTTTGCGCATGTACCTTCAAAACTGCTTTGAAAGGGAAAACACAGATTGACATAATAAGCTTAATGATTGACAAATTTTGTAACAGTTGCGGAGCAGCTTTCTCTGCCGAATGTACTCATTATCGCCGATCGTTGTACCTTGCTCTACTGTCCATTGGTCAAAAAGAGAAGAGCTCATACTTCACTTTCGCCTTTATTTGTTTCCCCGCGCAACTCTTTTGTCTTGCGTCCTCTGGGTGTGTTCGGGCAGCTCGCTATTAGTGCTCTTCAGCGCTATCATGTCATTCTGTATCCTTGTTGTATATCTAAGGAGCGATGAAGATAGAAAAACGCGATAGCGTTGGTAACGTGCTCCCCGAACGCATCCTCTGTTTTAACAAACACCAACATGAAAGGTAACGGCAGGGAGTTGCACTAATGTGTATACTGTGTTACGGCATCGACCTACGGGTTCTTCACATATAGTGATGGGGGATCGTGAGAATTTCTCCGTGACAGGAGCTCTTATACGCATGCGTGAAGTGACGTAATAGCCGACGTAATAATTTCTAATGACGGACGCAGCACGGAGTATCCATACGAAACCCTGTGCATCCGCGAAGGATTCCATCTGATGCAGTTTTTCTTCCGCGTTTCTTCCGCGAGTTATGTTATTGAATATTATGTAAAAATTATGGTCTAGTGTAATTTTTTATCATTTATATTTGTATTAAAAAATTTATATTAATATGTAATGTATTTTTATATATTATACGATTTTACTTTATGCATTAAATATGTTATTGTGTAAAATTGTATTGTTAGAATACACTGATCAGGTTTTCTGTAGTTTTCCTCGCTCTTGCAGCAAATATTAGTATTCGCGTGATATCGGCTACAGACGTTATAAAGTATCAAATGCTTATTGTTATTCGTAAATAGCATTTTGTTTCTTTAACATAAACTTTTTTCCCTCTCTACAACTCCCTTCATATTTTCTGGAAGAATTCTTTTAGACTGGGGATCTCACGATACCTAAAATAGATACGTCAGTGAGACTACCATAGCGTTTTGTCAATGCGCCTGCGTAAGAAATTCCCACGATTCCCCATTACTGTGCGATTACTGTCTACGGGCCCCTCATATAACGTAGGTTCGGCGACGGCGACGGACGTGGAACCGGGAAGAGGCAGCAGCACGTAACGAAGTTCCATTATTGGCGACGGTGATTTCACGGTGCCGAGCACAACCGGCGCACGGTATGTGTAGGCGAGAGTGATTGGATAGGCGTGTCGTACCGGCTGCAAATGTTGTCATCGTCATTTGTTTAACAGCGAACGAGAGTGCCTTGTTAACGCTGGTCTGGCGGTTGCGCGTTTCAGCGGACACCGAACGTCGTCGAGCCGCATCAGCGGGGAGAGATTGACTCTCAGCGAAGCAGGTGAAGCAGAAAAGAAGAGAGACCAGCTGAGGAATGTCCGATTTAGACGAGACTGACACTTCGTGCGGGGAGGAACAGATCATCTCGGATTGGGAAGTCCGAGAGGAGTGGCTCGAGAACATATTGTCCAAGTACTACGATGAACCGGTCAGTTTCGTGCACAAAACGAGTGACAAACAAGAAACAACACGAATATATGTACGTTCGATTTTAATCTCGCGGGAACGATTTATTTAGATCAGGATACTACAATTCGAGGCGAAATCCGAGCATACCAGTGAAGGCGCGCTGAGCTCCATTATTAGCGCTTGGGTGAAATTAATGTTCAGACAATGTCAAAGCAGAGCATTGTTAAACATTATAATAAAGCAACTACCTAAGGATCCATTCAGCCGTTTCTTCGTCACCGAAGGCCAATTCGATCTCCGTGAGATTCAATTTTATACGAAGGTAAGAGACAAAATAAGGTAAATGTACCAATGTTCGGACATGTACCTAATTCCGGACACTGTTATTATTTTGAATATTTTTCTAAATATTTCATCTTTCAAGGTACACTGAATATAAATATTAAATGTATGTATTGTATGTTGAAAGTTGAAATATTCATATTCAAATATAAAAATAATAACAATGTCTGGAGATTGGTACATGGGCATTGGTACATTTACCTTAATCAGACTTCCATGTTTGGCCGAATTTTAATCTCCCACCTGTTTCAGCTGATGCCAGACTTAAGGGAGTTCAATCAGAAGCAACTTATTCACAACAAATCAAGGAAATTTGATGACGAAATAGACTTTGATGCACTTAAAGTGATTGTCCCACAGTGCTATCACACTCATTATATTCCCGCGGGCGGGACCGACGACAGCCCGGTGCCACCGGAATCGATGCTAGTGTTGTATGATCCACGTGACAAAAACACCAGGAGCATCAAGTTTTCGGAAGGACTGGACCGCGTCACCACGCAGCTCGCGCTGGACGCCATCGCTCGCTTCCACGCTCACACCTTGGCGATGAAGGTCGTGGACGGGCAGCCTCTACCCCAGCGTTATCCGTTCCTCTTCAAAAGGGCAAAGGCGACCGATTCGTACCAGCAATTGGTAGAGCGCGGTCTACCGCAGCTGGTACACTTTTTAGAGAGCAAGCCAGGCTTCGAAACGATCCTCGAGACCCTGTTAGCCTTACGACCTCGCACCAGAGACATAATCTCGTCTCTGCTCGCGCCGGAGGGCCCGATGGCGCTGATAACTCACACCGACTTCTGGAGTAATAATCTGATCTTTTATCAGCCCGATCAGTTCGATAAAAATAGGCACTTCTGCTACATCGTCGACTGGCAAATGATCACTTATAGCCGACCGACGAACGATGTCGCGCTGTTGATATTGAGCTCAGTGCAGACTGAGACGCGTCGCAAGTACATCGATCGTTTTCTGGACATGTACTGGAACAAGCTGCAGTACGTGTCCTCGTGCCTCGGCGTGGACATTCAGGAAAACTTGGGATATACCCGAGAAGACTTCAACAAGGACTACAGAAAATCCCAATTACTGGCGCTCTTGCTTTGCATTGGTTCCGTGGACGTCGCGCTCGGCGATCCTCGCACGGAGAAACGACTGCTCGACGTTCTCGAAGATTTATACAAAGATGGCGTGTTAACGGACGAGGATATCATCGCGACGAACGAAGATATCGTCGCGACGAACGAGGATATCGTCACAACGAACGAGGATATTGTCGCGACGAACGAAGCGGATTCCTAATTCAGCGCTGCCACCCCGTCGACACTGTGTAGCGCCGAACGAACGTTTCTACCCCGGGCTGTGACTCGAAACAAGGATGATGATGATGATGATGCGGAACGATAGATGATTAGCCCATTCGTAGTTTAAAGACGCAACCTTTGTGTTCTCAATCGAGTGGAGACTCGAGCCAGCAACGGCGTGAACACGGCCGTTGAAGAAGGTAGTTGCAAGAAACGCACACGGCTCACATCGGAGGAATACAATGGACGTTAGGAACTTGTGTTACTCGGTCTTTTCGCTACGTGACGGAATATTATAGACGAGCGTGGAGAAATTGATCGAAGTCAGTATGCTTAAGCACGACACGATAGATGTCTCGATTATACACTAGTGTAAGCTTTGACATCCTGTCGGATATTACCCCTTAAAGGCTAGGATGGCATTTTAACGGCTACTCATGCAAGAATCACTTGCCATGCGATGAAAGTCCCAGAAGTAAGGTAGAATAAAAGCGGAAGCACGTTTTCTAAAGAGGAGTTATGCAATAAAGAGATTGATTTTATATCAACAGACATTGTTTTTTCTAATGTGGTTTTCCAATTCGGTTTTTGTGCTCAACGAATTGTCGATAAGCGATCTTTGGACGCGTTGTGCCAACTCACTCAAGATTTAGGCAGGTAGTTGTGACATAATTACTATCAATTATAGACGTACGGTTAATGTCATACAACATACATCAAAATTTTAAATATCTTTGAGATGTAACACAAGATGTATGCGACACAATTTCATCTGCCCGAATACGTCCCGTGATCAATTTTCTTCCGACAATTATACCAGCGAATGCGCTGTTTTGTTAACGCTACTTATACAAAAAATATTGTATTATTATCCATACTTTCCATATTATATTATCTATACTCTCTGTATAAACTATATGTATAAAATATACTTCAATGTTATATCACGAATAGTAGAGGAAGCTTTTACTTCAATTACTACACGAACATATATCTATTTCTAATCGTTCTTTTAATCACAGGCGAAATTCGCATCATGAGCTATTCGTGTGTATTTCAACTAGAATTTTCCGTAGAATCTTTTTAACATTCGTAACGACAACCGATACTCGTTAATTATGGGGACGTAATATCTGGACGCATTCGTACTCGTCGGTTAGTTTATATTGGTTAATTAGTAACATTAAAACGTTAAAACTTAGTTTGCAATAAAAACCAATCAACTTACCGATGCAGTAACTCCGCCAAGAATAAAAGCATTCCTCTTGTGCTTGTTGGCCTTCTCGTATCTCGTATACAATTTTTGCCCTACCCACACAGGTATACCTTAAACACGAAATATAGGATGCCTGTGTAGTGATACACACTTACTGATGTCATTTAAATATTGTAATCTATATTTTTATACGTTATATATGAAATATTCGTTTCTTAAGATCCTTTTCCTATTAGTACCAACCTATGATCATAGCAGGAAATGCTATACCCGCGACGAGACCGATCCCAACTGGAGCTCCTATCAGAGTTCCAAGTTGCCACAAAATCTTTTTCTTTCTAGACCATGGCTTTTTGCCCCAAAAAGTGCAGCCAGAAGGACTGAAAATTTAGAAAAGCACTTTGAAAATTAATGTCTACGTTCAAAGTGTTTTTATACGTCCATCGCTTCATTCGACAGACAATTGAACATACCTAAGATAGTGAAGATCACTAATTTCTTTCATACAGAGCCAACAAAATTCTGCGCCACAAACCGCACACGTCATATGGTTGCAACTTCCATCGTCCATTTTGACAATCAAGACTTGGCATCTCGGACATGGCTTTATATCATCTCCTGAACAAATCACAAATTGTAACAGTGTAAACGCAACTCAACATGAACCGATCAAATAAATATTACTCCATAGGAATATAATTTTAACTTACTGTGTTGAGAATCGGTTTGACTAAAACTCAGAGAAGAACTGCGCTCGTAGTATTGAGAACGTTGCGCTCGGGCGGCGTCGCACGTTTGATTCGGGTGCCATTGCGCTTTACAGTGATAGCAAAAGTACGAATCGCAACCTGGCCGCTCGCAACGTAATTTTGGACACGAAGCACAGCCACTAGCGATTACAGCGAAACTGCAATCAGGAGCGGGGCACCATCTCGCATCGGGCTCTACAGCGAGTACTCTCCGAACCATAAAATCTTCGTACTTCTCCAACTGCGTTTGATCATTCAAGATCATCCGAATATCTGCATATGCGAGAAAGATGGTGGAGAACCGTGAGAAAAACATAAATATTTAAACGCGGGATTTATACATTGGAATGTGTTCTTACCATTTGGATGTAACGGTTCATTACATTCGGGGCAAGCAATATTAACTCTAGACTCGGAGATTTCCACTTTGAGATACTGTTGAAAACAATCGTAGCAACTGCGATGATGACAAGACTGGATAACAGGAAAGAATTCTGCTGGTAAGTCGGCCAAACACAATGGACATTCCATCGGTCCATCATTACTCTGAAATAATAAATATGCGTGAAGACTTATCAGTGATGACGCATCATTAGGTAAACCCACTGAAGTTTTTGCATCATTCTCGATATAATCACTATGTCGTCATTATTTCGCTCGACGAATACCTTTCCTGCAGAAAACAGTCCAGAACCTTTGCTGGAAGCACGTTGCAGATCTATGTTATGAAATTGGAAATGACTCGAACCATTGCTCACTCTGGCCTCTCCTTTCTCAACATCCGCCACCCTACTGCTCGCTTGATCCTTAGCTGTAAAAACATTTTCTGTGTTTAAAAAAAGCACCGTAATTATCTCCAAATATGCTTCTTTTAATAAAACCTGAAAGTTACCTTTCGCATTCCTGTTACTCGAACTGGGCGTTCTTACGATACGACGACCGATAAGCGGACTGGAATACAGTAATCTGCGTAACGAAAATCGGGGAAATAGCCTCCGTGGACGAGGTGTCGCGCCGTTACAACCTCCCGCGCCATTATCGTTTTCCTTAAACATCCTGAGAAGTGTTGAAAAGTATTACACACTGCTACACACGCTGCTCATATTCCTTGCCACTTGAGCTTACTTGTCTGATTCTGCAAACAAATCAAACGATCACAGTTAAAAACTTGTAGGTTTTCAGCACACAATGCCTGATTTATCCGCATAATTTAAGTGAAAATATTGTACCGCGTGATGTGTAGTTGTAATATCAAATAAATCGCTGCTTGTATATGCAAATAAATTTGCAAGAAATTGCAAATTGAATTATAAAGTTGTTGCAATATTCTCCATAAATGTACATCTCATTGATCAACATTTTCTAGAATTGTTATATAAGTTAATACTTTCTATCGCTTTACATATATATAATATAATTATGTCCATTATATTATATCATAAATTTGTAAACGAAGTTATATAACATACGACACGTGCACAGAATGTTTTATTGGTCAATTGAATAATAATAGATAAGAATAGATTTTACAAATTTGGAATAGCAACATAATAGTAACAATAACAGTAATTTGATCCATTCATTATTCCGTCTGTTGTCATTCGATGACTCATTACAGAGATAATTGAAGCCTGACGAATGCATATTCTGTTTTCCTTCAAAGCACGTTGAAGGAATTCTTGCGTTCAGATAATGTTATACTTAAACGTATCGAACTGTTACAGAGGCGAAGTCAATCTGTAGCACGTAAGCCTTGAGCAAAAAATCAGGTGCATATAAATTTGGACATGTTACGTCGTCGGAAGGTACTTTCACTAACGAGAATTCTGAGGAACGCTAATATATAACGTTGATATTTGCAATATCAACGTGGACAAACATATATTTAATACAAACATATAATTATTTTATTCAGCTAACACTACTCCTGGAATTGATAAAATAAAACCACAAATTAAAACTACTAAAATATAAAATAAAAATAATTTACCAGCGATTTTTGAAATTGGTAAAATTTTAATTTTTTATTTGCTAATTGGTATAATAACATCATCTTCAGTTTTAGATTTTTTTTTCTTGTGTTTTCGTAAAAAAAAAAAAAAAAAAAAAAATATGTCAACATTTATATACCTCTATCTAAAACTTATAATACTATTATACTACATATATATTAATAAAAACTGTCAATAATTTTAAAATAACATAACTAGCCACAATAATCAAAATAAAACAATAATACAGAAATTTATATTATTTTTATAATAAATGTTTTAGTAAAAATTTAAACACTTATTAATGATTAAATTATTTGTTATATTTATGAGTTGAAAGATATAAAGTTTAATGAATTATTAATATTATTTTATCCTAATGTTACTATTGTTTTAACATCAGATACAGTACTATTTTGAGATGCTGCTTTTTGTGTTCCGCTTGTTCCTGGTTGATCATCAAAAGACATTTTTACAGCAGAATTACTTCTTGTATCTGTGTCATGAAAATCTTTTACTTCTAATGCATCAATACCAACTTCTATACCAGTATCATTACAGAATATAGTAAAGCTATAGTCATCTATAACTTTTTTTCTTGCTTGTTCAGTCTTTTCTTTTAAATCTCCATCATATATTCCAATTTTTTTGGTTTCGTATTCTATTTCATCCAATGTATGCAATTCTTCTTGATAATAAATGTGCATTTGTCTTCTATTTTTTTCTATCTCTTCCTTTAATTTTGTAATTTTTTCTTCAAATTTCTTTAATAGAGCCATTAGATGGATTGGAAGCAATTATATTAGTAATGGTAATTCTATTAATCACTATTACACTTAAGATTTATAAAATCTTTTTCTCATTGTCTTATTTCCTTTCTATTTTATATATGTAGTTTAATTGTAATACAAAAAATAATTATTTTATTCAGCTAACACTACTCCTGGAAGCAGTAACACACAAATAATAAGAATAATCCGTCTCGTCAGCGTGATTTAAAACTTTTTTTTGCAGCAATGACGACGGTTTTATTTTAGTCGCGGCATCGATGTAAACGGCTTGTCGTTCCGTCATTCTTTGTCCATCACAACAGTTCCTTCTGCTAAAACGATTCGTTGCTTTCCCTGAAAGAGGAATAATACAGGCCACGATGGTCATCGGCGATTTCACCGCGTCTACAAGGCGCATGAATAATCAGCGTGTTGCAATTCTCGAAGTCATGTAACACGTGCGAATTTCGACACGCTCGATTCGCGATACAGGGAGAAAGAGAAAGAAAGGAGAGAGGGAAAGAGAGATCATATCTCTCCGCGACAGATAGACGGTATATATTTACAAGAAAACTGCTTGTTATCTCTTAGTGGAAATGCAAGATATAGAATACATTGTTCCATATGATCAATAAATTATTTAACGCGTACTATTGCATTTACAGCCAAATAACGCGATTGTTACCAAATTTAATTGCCTGTTGGGAAAAAGTCCACATGAATGTAAAAAATAAAATTAAAAATAAAATTAAAAATAAAATTTTGTTCTTGTATTTATGATTTATAATTTCATTCATAGGAAACCTGCAACACTTTTTCTCTCTTCTAAATTGAATTATAAAACATAAACAGATAACAAAATTGCACTATATTTACTGACGTTCACATGGACTTTTCTCCCAATAGGTATTTAATTTTGGCAGTAATCGTTACTTGACTATGAATGTGATAGTATGCATCAAATTTATTCATCATGGAACACCGTATCATGCATATTTGGTTTCCACTAAGAGATAACAACATATCTCATAAATATGTACTAGTCAAGGTTAAACGGTTTCTGAATCCTCTAAAAAAAGTTGAGTCCTTTCAAAAAGGCATCAACGATTTTATCTCTCTACTTTTTAATGGTTTTTATATTATTTTATATTATAAGCAAGTGTTAATAATGTCAGAGGTGTCATTGATATATCACCATGCTCGCTGTGAAATAAAGAAGCATTAACACGTTGACTAGCATCAGAATTATCATTTGAGTTTCCAACAACACTGTAGAAATTTCTTAGTGAAATAAATCATCATTTATTCGACAATTTCTCCCTGTGTCGCGAATCGAGCGTGTTGAAATTCTCATGCGTTACATGACTTCAAGGAGATTCGACAATTTATATACTGTGATAATTTAGATTGAATTAAGTATATCATACAATATTTTATCCTTACATACTTATGATAATAAAGATGTCATTGTGGTGCAAATGATAAGATATACAAAACTTCACTGAATACAGTCAACGTATTAACACAGAGTTATCATTCTTGTCAGACTGTAATATTAAGATAACGTTGCATATACATCTCCCAAGTACAAGATTCGTTATAAGCGTGTTTTGTATCAAATTAATAACATCAAATACTGGTTTACAAGAACTTGTTGCATTTTTTTACATGATGAAAATTAGAATCATTAAAAATAGAAATCAACAAAATTAACAAAATTAAATATAACTTGCACTCTTCGCTGATATTTGTATTCCGCATTTATGATTCAAACGTGGTATTATTCGTCGCGGAAGAGCGAGCGACCGCCAGATGCAGTCCCGGGACTATCGAAAGTCTACAGAGTCTGGGGGATCTAATTTTTGCACCAAACATCGAATAATCTCATAATGTCATTGATACATACTGCGTTGAAATGTGTACATGCACGACGGATGCGATAAAGGCAGAGAGTTACGTGCGCTCCGTTATCCACAGCGCAGACTTCGTCTGTGAACAGCCGAGGAGTCGCAGTCCGTGCGTCGAGAAAAGCCTCCCTACAGCGTAGACGACGTAGAATGGAACAGGAGACGCATACGAGCACTTTGCTGGGATCGCGAAAAAGAATACCATGAGTAACAGAGATCCACGCGTGCACGACCGTCGCGAGGCGACGCGTGTCGATGACTAGCACTCGTGGAAATGCAAACGAGTCGCGAGACGTAACTCGATCTCCCACGACGGACAACGCGGTCGATTCCAAGAGTGCCCTACCTTCGTCGTGCTGTCGGACGTAGCCACTGGCCCGCTGTCGAATTAGTGTACTAATAATCCGTGTCGCAGTGCCCGTCGCAGATATCCAGATTGGCGCAAGGTTAGCCAAAAATCTAAGCAATTTGTTGGTTAAGGATGTTCACTTGACACAACAGCTGACTGCTTCCGCTTACGGTGTTATTACGGGAAAACCCTGAGACTGCTGCGGTACACTCGTACATCGTATACAACAAGCGTGAAGTTAGCTTCACTATAGGCGCGTTCAGCAGAAAAAGAGCTCAGTGAGCAATCGTTGATTATTGGTTCTTACTGTTAGATCCCTAAATCTAGACCAATTACATTGACGAATTGCTCAACTGTTATGCAACTGTTATACTATGGCCGCGTTCAGTAGAACAAGTGATCAGTAAGCACTCAGTGAGCTCTTGCATCTGATTGGAGTATAGTTGGAGATCTAAAAGAATATGTCAAATCATATACAAGAACTCCCTGAGCGCTTACTGATCACTTGTTCTACTGAACGCGGCCTATGATTTCGCTGATCGCGATCCAATGATCGCAATTCACAACTAATATCAAGTTGCGTTCTTCGCCACTAGTGTGAGAATCTACAGTTCATGTCACGTGTACTGTAGATTCTCAGGTCGGTATTTTTAGATTGATTATACGTTAGTTGCAAATCGCAAGGTTGCAAGAAAATTGACCAATTACAGTCAACTTTTTTTCGCGACAAACATGATCAATTGTGATTGGTAAATTTTCTTGCAACCTTGTGATTTGGAACTAATGTAGAACCGACCTTAGTCACATTTATAACTCTGTTTGCTATTTAACTTTATAGTCTTGTTTTATGCTGTAATCTATACCACGAATAATCGATTGTGACTGATCAATTTGTTTACAGCTTAAAGCAAGATTGTGAACCAGGGCTTACGTTTTTCTGCGTGCTTCTGGCCTATCTTGGGCCGCGTTCCGTTTCACGTATATATGCGCGCATTATTTATCTATAGTTCATGTTACGTATATTGTAGGCAATGCGCGCATAATGCGTAAAACGGAACACAACCTCGGAAGCGAGACATCGAACACACAAGTGACTAACTTCAGACGTAAAGAATATATACGAATCGAGTGTACCGAAGCGCGCACAGAGTCACCAAGCGGCAACAGTCGGCGTTACAGCCTGCGAAATTTGAAATAACGCGAGTAACGTACATTCCTTCGATCGAATGCGGAAAACGCGGGGATTGTAATTTCCAACGTAGATATGTATAATACAATTATATATAAAAGGCATTAAATCTTAAATTAACATAAATGTTAATATTATATTACGTGCTAATGGTATCAAAATCGGACTGAACTGCGCGAATAGTTAACAAAGCAATACGATGTATACCGAGACTCATGCTTATTGCGAATTATCGTGTAGAAATATTCTTCGCTATAATAGCCAGAAGGTCTAGTTCAGAAAACATCATGAATAACAGATCGACCGACCGACCGGTTTTGACGTTATAATTAATGGAAATAAATCTTATTGTTTATGGTAATAGCTCGCATAATTAAGGTTTCTATTCGCATGCATTCTAATGAAACGAAATTACACAGTTAACATAAAATAATACTTGTAGAAAAGTACATATCTTTACAATTTAATGAGAAAAATATATGGAAATTACATTGAAATTTCAACATGATATTAAAAAAATGTAAAATTAGTCATAATAAATGAATACATGGAATATAAAAACCTCGTTTAATGATGTTATTGATGCAATGACTTGCAAGTTTATATTGAAATGTATATGTGTACATTACTACATATTTAGAATTATTTTCCATAAAAGATCCATGAAAGATACAGAAAATATCATCAAATAGTAAAATATGTTTTATATATATGTAAAATTTGCTATTCATACATACAAGCATTGTGATTTTTATATATAGTACTCTTAGCGGTGTTTAATTTATATATAGTATTACATAACACTATATATAATACAGTATCTATATACTGTAATGTATACATTATAATGTATAGACTATAATGTATAGTATACTATATACTATACACTATAATGTACTAGATACTATATACTATATACTATATACTATAATGTACTAGATTATGGTATAATATACAACATAGCAACGTGATAAAAACTAAAAGTAATTACACAAAGTGCACAATTATAACTTATGTGACTCTATAAACTCATTTGAAATATATATTGCACGTTATGAATCTAACACAAACTGTTATAGTATCTTCAAAGTACTGTATCTTTATACATAAAATCGAACATTATTCTCGCGTGTAAAGTCATATGTAGTAAATTATTCATTTACTTTTTGTGCCTTTACCGACCGCATCAGTTATCGAAGAGAAACCATTAGTTTTAAGTATTTCACACAATTCACGTTTGATCTTGTCAATTATTGGTGGTCCGTTGTATATGTATGATGTGTAAATTTGTATTAAGGAAGCACCAGCTTTTATTTTCTCGTAGGCATCAACACCAGAGAAAACTCCACCCACACCGATAATTGGAATTCTGCCGCGCGTTCTCTTGTACATGTCAGAGATCATAGCGGTAGAAAGATTGGTCAAAGGAGCACCGCTGAGACCACCGCTCTCTTCCTTGTTGGGACTTATCAAATTTGGCCGTGTAGTCGTTGTATTGCACAAGATCAAACCATCAACTTTGGTTTTGCTACTTAAAATTATATCTGCCACATCTTGTCGTTCAGACTCCGACAAGTCTGGAGACAGCTTTAAGAGTAACGGCTGTCTGCTACCAACCAATTCCCTCGCAGTGTTTACTTTGACCAGTAAGTCTGCTAAATTCTTCCTACTTTGTAAAGATCTTAATATCACAGTATTAGGACAAGATACATTAATTACAAAATAATCTGCTACATCCATAAATTTTTTTATGCCATCGATGTAATCTTGAACAACATCTTCTGTCTCCTCGTTGCTTCCTAAATTTATCCCAACAACACCATTAAAATGCTTATTCTGTTTCAGCTTCTTGAGACGTTCCCATACAGCTTGGTGACCATCGCTGTTAAATCCATATCTATTTACAACTGCATTATCTTCTGGTAACCTGAAGACTCTGGGCTTTGATCTACCAGGCTGAGGTTTTGGTGTTACAGATCCTGCAATATTTCAGATATTGTACTAGAAATGACCTTAAGGTATAGCACATGTGTCTATTATACAAATTGTATACCTATTTCTACAAAACCAAAGCCAATTTTGTGTAATCCTTTTACTGCTTCTCCTTGCTTATCGAATCCTGCAGCTATACCAACTGGATTTTTGAATTGCAGGCCCAAAATACTTGTTTGCAACAAGTTGGAATCTTCTACCTTCTGTTTTGGCACAAGATTCCATTTCAGAACTGTTACTGCGAGGTTGTGAGAAATTTCTGGATCAATCAGCTGGACCAAAGGTAGGATTACATTTTTATAAAATTTCTCATTGCCTTGAAAGATTGAAATACCACCAAACAGAGCAGCAGCACTGCTTGTCACAGTGAGAAATGATTTAATCTTTGCTTTGTTACTCAGTTGTTGTGTCATTTCAGTTACAGCTTATTCAGTATTGTACAAATTATCCTGTCAATATGCGAATATAGATATACACAATAACACATACACATACACACACACACACACACACACACACATATATATATATATATATATATATATATACATATATTCATATCACTCACGTTATTTAAATATTTATGAATGAATAGGCACACTTGGGATAAGTTGGTTAGTCTGAGCATGTATTTTTTTATCCTTACTGACGTAAAACGTTGGTCTGTTTTTTTTTCGAGGAACTTCCTGAATTAGTATACACTGGTACAATACACTGGTATAATACACTCGTTAAAGTGAAACAAGTATTTTTTATTTTACTCTATTTATAGCATCAGTATACACTAGTTCAGGAAATTCCTCGAAAAATTAGACCTAGTCACGTGCATCACTGACGTACATTCGAGCTCTGGACTGCTCTCTCTTTATCTGTGTGACGACGATCGTCACATGACAGACACAGAAGCCTGATGCGTAAGTGGAAGGGGAAAAACGCTTGCTTTCCGGGGCTCGAATACATATCATTGACATGAAGAGATCGTAATAACATTTTTTATTTATTTATTTTTCAATGAAATCGTGATCACAGGAATGCATGTGACAATTTCACATACCTAAACAGTCATTTTAAAATAATTATAATACATCACTGAAAATCGAAACAATTTATGATTAAGATTGCCATTGAAATAGAACTAGCGCATAGGTGTAGGAAAAAACTAAAAAGAGAATAAGTAGAAAGTAAGCAAGAATAAACAATATCTACACAGCAGAGATGTCCAAAATATATCACAGGGATATCCTAAAGATATATTTGGGATATGCGATATCTTCAAGATATCCTTATGATATATTTAGGACGTTATCGATATATACACACGTTATCGAGTGTATGAAGTTGGCATCCCACTTTTTGAAATTTATAATTTTGAATGTTGTTCCAGATTGTTCTGACTTTGTACCACATTGTTCCAAAGTGATATTGCTTCATTCGAAACGGTTTTCGAATAAAACAAAAAAAATGATTTTTTGAGCTGGCACCCCACTTTTCGAAAATCGAACATTCTGATACCGCAATAGATTGTTCTAGTTGTTCCAAACATTGTTCCAAAAGGACAAATCCGTAAGTTGAATTATAAGTCCAAAAAATGAAAAAAATGTTTTTGACCTGGCACCCCATTTTTTGAAAATAAAGCATTCCGATACCGATATAGATTGTTCTAGTTGTTCCAAACATTGTTCCAAAAGCACAAATCAATAAGTTTAATTATAAGCCCGAAAAATGTTTA